AGCTTCTTACGAACTCAGGACGCCAAAGGTGCTCTATTGCAAGATTAAAAGAAACGCCTCGAAACATGAAATGATCACTTCCAACAGCTCCTCAACAGCTGTTCTCCAGATTCGACAATTCTGATCCATAATCATAACCGACACTACAGGTTACGTTAAGTCATCAAAAAAAGTTATAAATCCCACAGCCATTACTACAGATCAGGATGAAAAACGCTCGTGGTATGGATAGAACCTGCTAGAGGTAAATAAAGACGAACGAGAATAGCAAAATATCCTCCACGCCCACCTTTATGAAATGTAGATTCACAACGTTTCACCGTAGAATGAAAGTGCGGAGTAACCATCCCTTTATTTGCACGGTGGTTGGCGATCGAGTGTTGAAACTATCGTGGTATCACATTACTGTTGAATCTGTGTTCCTGCTCGATTTTGGAATGGTTGAGGTTGAGGTTTTGAAATGGTTGAGGTTTGGAAGTTGATGGTAAACTTTTCATAAACGAGGCATGTTTCTGGAAAAAGTGTTCCTGCTCGGACCAAATTTTCATTCTTGGAAGGATCACTGAGTAACATCGACGATTTCGGTTGCACTGGTTTGCCAGTTTCCTTGATTTTATGGCTACATTTGATTCAGTGTATCGTCCAAAAATGTAGAAAGTCTTAAAATTCCATTAAACACTTGAAAACATCATATGTGGAAGCAAAACGTGCAGAACCATGACTGCCATTAAAGTCGAAGAACAGCCATCTGAATGATATCCCATCGGCTGTGAATTTCAACAGGAAGACGTAATTTCGTTCTTGCTATTCAACATTGCTCAAGATTTTTTCTCCTCGGAGACGCCACTGATCCTGGTAAAGATGAGGGTCACACTGTAGAAAGAAGGCGCAGTGAAAGATATCTGGCTAGATATCTTGCTGCTCTACAGTTTGCAGGTAATATCACACTGTGAACAGAACAGGAATCGGGCTTCATCGCCTTAGAGATTCCGTATGAGACACAACCTACAAAAACAGGCCCCTTGCGCAACACCTAGAAGTCAGAATTTATGAGCAACATATGCTACAGTAGAGATATGCTAGTGGAACAAGGAGGTTGAGCAATTCAAATACCTCGGTTCCAAAGTAAAAAATAAGTTGGACATAAACCGTCTTGATGATTTTAAAAGACATACTCTTTGCATGCTGTTTTGTATAATTAGTGGCAAGATGTTAATTCTCGTTCCAAATGAATGCCTATACAAATCATTTCATGTTGGAGAGATCAGAGATACAAGCATCA